CAAGCGACTGCAGGCTTTCTCCTGGTGAATACAAGCTACACATCATTCTTTGTCCCCCTCCCTCTTGCAGTTGGTCTGGGTTACCTTCTCTGTGTTCTGGATACAGAGGATCTATGTTTCCAAGCAGGTGTCTCTCAAGGAGTGCCTGCTTCACCCATATTGCTTACAAAATAAATCACACAGCCAGCACAGTGGCTCCCACCTGTAATCCCAGCACTTTGGGAGGCTGAGGCAGATGGATCACCTGAGGTCAAGAGTTCAGAACCAACCTATCTAACATGGTGAAATGCTGTCTCTACTAAAAATACAAAAATTAGCTGGGCATGGTTGTGGGCGCCTGTAATCCCAGCCACTCAGGAGGCTGAGACAGGAGAATCGCTTGAACCTAGGAGGTAGAAGTTGTAGTGAGCCAAGATCACACCATTGCACTCCAGCCTGGGCAACAAGAGCGAAACTCCATCTCTAAATAAATAAATAGATAAATCACATACAACTAGATACTGGCTAACACCATCTTCTTGGGTTAATTTGTGGTTTAAAGCAGGGGTCAGTGAATTAGAGCCTGTGGCTACCTGTTTTTGTATAACTCTCCTGCTAAGAATGGTTTTCACATTTTTAAATGTTCCTTAAGGGATACAAGAAAATTATATGAAATTAAAACTTCAGTGTCCCTAAATTTTTGTTGTAACATGGCCACTTATTCATTCACCTATATAAGTATGCTATACGTATATATGTGAGATATGTGTGTGTGTGTGTGTGTGTGTGTGTGTGTCTATATGGCTGCTTTCCTGCTAAAATGGTGGAATTGAGTAGTTGTGATCAAGACCACAGGGCCCATAAAGTCTACAATATTTACTATCTGGCCCTTTATAGAAAACATTTTCAAACTCTGGCTTAGAAGGGAGGGCCTTAATGATTTATGTCCTATTAAATGGATTGGCATCTTCAAGGCAGGAGGCTGAAGGAGCATCCAAGTAAAATGCTGCATTCATGACAATGAATCTGATAGGAAAGTTTCTTGGACACACTGGCAAGAAGAGCCTCAAAGTGTTCATAAGTAGATAAAATGAGGGGAAAAAAGGACAACCAAGGGAAACAAAACCACCCCAACCTTCAGAAAGCTGTAGATGTGATCAAGCATGCATGAATTGTCAGAAATATCCTTAGGTAAAAATGTTGAAAAATGTTTTATGGTCACAGAAATTGGGTTGAGTTTAAGCACATGGAAGCGGTTTCAGACAAGGGGTTGGGTAAGGGGTTACAGCTGACAGACCCCAGACCCTAGAGTCTGGGTCTAGGATTGTGGAAGGTAGAGGTTTCTGCAGCCAGACAGGCCAGGGAGAATGGCCTTTGAGTGTCCTTCAGAAGAGCACCCATCAGAAATGAGGTCTAAAGGACATTGGGCTAGGTGCTCAGCTCCCCTAGACCATGGAGTGCCTGGTGCCCCTTTCTCATGGTGCCACAGACTGGTCAGGAGAAGTGAGAGAAGGCTCCCTCTCAGCCTTTGGAGAATCCAGACAAATCTAGTTTGAATCTAAATATGGATGGAGGCTAGTGAACCCCCACACTTTTCTCTGTCATCTCCACCTGCCCCATCCACTGAAAAGAAGGCTGCCAAGGAGAGGGCAGGTGAATGGGGCCTGCCTGCCTTGGCAACCTCACCTAATGATAGCTCACACTCATGGATTGCCCACCCTAGGCCTAAACTTTGGATAGTTTTGGGAGAGGTAATTTGCTTAAGGAACCAGAGGCCTTCTGGGAAACGAGTCAAGACCCTAGCTCTTGAAACTCAGGGTGAGCCAGAGGTCAGATGAGCAAGGCCTAAGAGCAGGGTAGAAAGAGCAAGGGTCGCCATCCCTACTGAACACTTCAGCCTTCACCTTTGTTGCTATGGCTGTCTTCTAGCGCTTTTCACTGTGACAACAGAAAACAGGAGGCCTGCAAGTTTTATGCCTGCAAAATGCCATAGCCCTTTGTGTGAGTTATTTCATTAAATCTTCCAAAATGGCCTCATGAGAAAAGTATTGTCATCATTTTATAACTGCGAAAACTGATGCTTGGAGCAGTTAAGTTTCTTGCTCAAGATTACTCAGCAGTTATGAAGCACAGACAGGTATGAGGACCCCCAAAGTCCAGCTCTCAGCATCCTTACCCCAGGACACTGACTCTGGCACGTTTATTATACTTTTGCGTTCCTTGCTTATCCTTTTATCTCTTTCTAAGTTGATTCGATGTTGAAACCGTGAGCCGTTTAATAGCAGTTCATGTTACTGTGACGATGGCCACTGAAGAGATCCACAAGACGTGGCAGCCCAGGCGTGAAGGTTAAGTGTGCAGACCCTGGCTTCAGACTGCCTGAATTAGATTCCTGGGTCTGCCACTTATTGCCTGCATGGCCCTAAGCAAATTGCTTGATCTCTTTGTGCCTCAATATCCCCACCTATAAAATGAAAGTGATTTATCCTGATTCAATAAGCTATTCCAGATAAACAGCTTGAGCAGAAGCGAGCATTCTACTCACTGGTTGCTGCTATTGCTGTTTTCCTTGTACCTAATCACGCCTGTGCTGCTTGCCTCGCAGGATAGAATCCCAGGAAGAAAACTGCAGTGGTGAGGAGGGCACTTCTTTAGGAGCCAGGAGCTCTGGATTCTGAACCCTGTTCTGTCAATAACTCACTATGTGAGTTCAGAGACATCACCCTTAATACCTTAATACCTGCAGCACATGCCAGCTACAGCATGTTTTCCAGGTCCATTTACCCCAGTGGTAAATGTAGTTGGTGTAACAATATTTACTGAACATGTGTGGGCCAGATTGACCCGCCTAATCTCCTCTTACTCTTTATGCCCACACTACTGGGTAGACTTTTTTGTTATCTTCATTTTGCAAACTAGGAATTTGATGCTAAAGAGGTTAAGGAAGTTGTTCAGAGTCACAAAGCCAGGAATAAAAAAAAGCTGAGTTGAGATACGAACTCAGGGAGTCTGACTCTGGTTCACACACTTCACAGCTGTGCTTGAGCAAAGTTGTGTTAAAGCCATGATTAAGGTCCCACTTATAGCCAGCTGGCCACCACTCTGCAGGATGGGGCTGGAGATGGAGAAATGTGGCATCACCTCTCCACATTGGTTGTGAAGAGAACTGTCAATTCTTGCACAGAAAAAGGAAGACGTGACCACAAAGGAGGACTTTATTGCCATGGAGATCAAACTATCCCAACAAAAGGCTCAAGTTGGCCCAAGGAATTTTGTCCTATCAGGTAATGGAAATTGTTTTTAGTGGCAAGAATGAGCTCATTACAGATGCAGCTTGTGCTAATAATGATAATTCCCTGAGCAGTAAAATCACCTCTCTACCTTCCCCGCCAACAGATAACACTCTAGAAATTATAGGCTAGGGAGAAACAGAAGGGATAAAGATTAAGGAAAAGACTTGCAATGCAGAACTGCTTACACAAAGGGAGTTACAGATGTGCACATTGAACTTGGTGATTTGACAATGAAGTTGTAGAAGAACTAGATACTATTAAAGAATTGTTCACATTGCCTTTATTCAATTTGGTTACTTCTATCACTGGGTTGTGGTTTTTCTGGTTTTGTTTCAGATTTACAGCTCAAGTTATCTCTTAAAAGTTGGTGCAAAATGAATTAGTCAGTGACTTAAATATTGATGCACTGTAAGATCCCATGGATGGGAGTGAGATAAGGGCAGTTCCAAGGAGTCATTTCAGTCCTCACACCCCCTTAATTTCATGGGCAAGGACACCCCAGTAACCTTGAGCCCCTGGGAACTATCTGCAAACTGTTTGGGAGAGGAGGCCAGGCAGACATTCATTCCTGTCGCTCATTCCGGAGAGACCAGCAGAGATGCAGCAGGCTAGGCCACCCCGCCCCAGCAGCAGGGAGATTGAGCGCGATGTTTCCATTCCAAGATTGTGAGTTTCAACTCTTCCAGGGTTTTAAAAACACGGGAAAAAATCCCAACAGGTCACTGAGCTTTGCCTCAGCCCTTGGAAGGGAATGCCAGCTATCTTCTATTGAGATGTGGTTTTTTTCTTTAAACATGATTATTATCTTTTTTTTTTTTTTTCCGAGATGGAGTCTCACTCTGTTGCTCAGGCAGGAGTGCAAGGTGTGATCTTGGCTCACTGCAACCTCTGCCTCCCGAGTTCGAGTGATCCTCCCACCTCAGCCTCCTGAGTTGCCGGAACAACAAGTGTGCACCACCATGCCTGGCTAATTTTTGTATGTTTAGTAGAGATGGGGTTCCACCAGGCTAGTCTCAAACTCTTGACTTCAGGTGATCTGCCCGCCTGAGCCTCCCAAAGCTCTGAGATTACAGGTGTGAGTCACCACGACTGGCTCTTCTTTAAACGTGTAGTCTCTAAAATATTAAAACATCTTTTAATCGATTCAAATAGGGATTTTTTAATGACGTTTTTTCTTGATTATAAAAACAATACCTATTGGCTATGGAAAATTGAAAAAAAGCATAAATAAGAAAATTAAAATAACCAATAGGATCATCATCCAAATAACCTATCCTGCTAGCATTACAGGTTAGTGGCCCCTCCACCCTTTTTTAAAAGCAAAAAGCAGGATGATAGTGTGTATGTGTTTGTGTGTATGAGTGATACACACACAGGTCTGCTGCACTTGGACAGTTTTATGACCTGCCTATTTCATGTATGGTATCCTAAGTATTTTATACAACAGTATTCTTTCATCATATCATTTAAAAATAATGAAATGTACTATAAACCTGAACTCTGTGGGAAGGTGTTATCTGGTTTTTTGTGAAAATCTCCCTTTGCATACATTCCTGGTTGTTTTTCTGGACAAATGTTCTTAACCGTTCCTGTGTTGGGGACCCATGGCTGTCTGGTGAAACCTGTGGGACTCTTGTCAGAACAATATTTCCAAATGTTTAAAGCAAAATATATAAGATGACAATGGAAATGATATTGAAATATAATCAAAATGTTAAAAAGAACAAATTTATGAAACAGCCATTTCTTTATTCTTATATTGAATAATAATATGTGAAAGAGTAGATCTACTCCCTGTAAGAACCACCATGATTATAAAGCGATGAGCTTTAACATCATTCAAGCTGCTTGCAGACAGAGTCACATGATAGAAAAAGATCTGTGGTTGCCCTCGGGCTAAGGTGACAGGTCCTGCAATGGTTTGTGGTTTCTGGCTTACATTCATCAAGGAAGGAAATACTAAATTTTGCCTGGAGGTTGGTGAAAACAATGATGTAACTTTTTTCTCATCAGAGTTCTATGACCTCCTGACTTCTACCCATGGAACCATGGGAGCTCAGGATGCCCAGGTGAAAATTCTTGCCTTGGAAAAAAGACTCCCAGGCCCAGCTTGCTGCATTGTGTGGCTCTGCACATTTCTGAGCAGATGACAATGGTCTCATTGTCCCAGGAGCTGTTTTTTTTATTTCTTCTGCAGGCAGATGGTTGCTGAGGGAGGTCAGGGTGCCTGATGGTGGCAGGAGGATGTCATCCAGTGTTATGGCTTCAACTGTGTCCCTCAAAAAAAAAAAAAAAAAAAAACGTGAAAGCCTTAGTCTCCCATACTTTATGTGACTTACTTGGAACTAGAGTCATTGCAGGTGTAATGAGTTACAGTGAGGTCACAGTGGAGTAAGTCATGCTCCTAATCCAGTGTGACTCATGTCCTTGAAATTTATGGACATTTTATTAAGAATATAATAAGAATACATACAATATATAACAATAAAATGTAAGAAGATGGCTGTGTGAAGGCAGAGAGGCACACAGGCGGCCTGGAGTTAGTACCAAGAAATGGCTGCAAAACACCGCAAGCTAAGAATAGGTGAGGAAGGATTTCCCATGGGTTTCAGAGGAAGCAGGACCCTGCTAACACCCCAATTTTGGACTTCCAGGCTCCAGAACTGTGAGACAATAAATGTCTGTTGTCAGAAGCCACTCAGTTTGTGGAATTTGGTTGAGGCAGCCCCATCACACTGATATAGCTGGTATCTGCCAGCTGGACCCCCCTGGGGACTGGGATTTTGGAAAACCAGGGCTGGTGTGGGTGTGGTGTCTGCGCCACTGTCAGGAACATGCCACACCAGGAACCAGGGACTGTTTGGTTAGGGGGTTGGGCTATGTCTTCAGTGAAGATCCTGGCCTGGCTGCACAGTGTTACCTTGGGGGTTAGGAACCCTAGCTCATGGTCAACATAACCTGGAGAAAACCCGCACAAGAACCTTTAGCCTGTGGAGAAGCACCCTCTTTATTCCCACATGTCGATACAAGGTCTTCATCATTAGTGAAATGCAACTGCCAACCACTCAGGATGCAGGTGGCAATTTAAAAATTCTTGTTATTACATTTCTTTATTGCTCATTGGACATGATTCCAACATGAGAATGGCAGGTTTTAGGACCCCCCACTTAAAGTTCACCTCTTCTTGGGAGACTCTACGCTTCTACCATCCTGCATACTTTGCTGAAGACAGTGGCTCTAGATAAATCTTCCCACTGCATGGTACATTTGGTCTCTGAGCATAGCCATATGTCAAGGGAGTTCTGGGGTCCTCTCTGAGGGGCATTCCAAGAGCAGGGCAGCTTTCACCTAGAAGAGAAACCGTTCATGTGAGCTGCAGGAAGCTGGCCCAGCTAAGCAGAAAGGCCACTGCAAACATTTCATCCCTTTCTAAAAAAGTGGTAGGAAGGAAACAGAGAGTCCTCCCTCACCTGGGATAGAAAAATCGGGATATTTTGGCAGCAGCTCTTCATGTTGCAAAACTTTTGGAGAAGGAGCAGAAGGTTTTCTGGTGCTAACTCCATATATTCTAAAACAAAAACAGAAGTCACAAAGTTATGAACCTTTTATTAAGAATATAAGAATAGAATACAAATATATAACTATAAAATATATGAACATGGTATGTTTATTTCCTTATAATTTATTCTAAAGGTAAAGATCACCATCCTCATTTTGCCGAAGAGAAAACTGAGGCCATGAGAAGCCTCCTATGCAGTGCCCTGGGGTCCCCTGCCTTCTCGCTCCCTCAGCACCCTTAGGCTTTAAACCACTGCCAGGATGGTAATCCTGCTGGTTTTTACTCTCAACCCCTCCTTGCCAACCAGCAAAGACCACAGGTAGAGCTTCTGGGGAATGCTGAGCACAGGTCACGAGCAGAGGGCAGCTGCCTACTGAGGAAGCCTTGAAACTACAAATGAGGTACCTTCTCTAAGACAAATCACACACACATAGTCCTAGTGCTGGGATGGGGACATCTAGTAAACCACTGCCCTGGGTTTGCACTTCTCCCTTTGATCTTGTGTCTGGGGTGAGGACCCAAGACAGACTCACTCTTCATATGGTTTCAGATGTGCTTTCTTGGCCCTCTCCATGATGTCCAGAAAGTCCTTGTAGCAGTTTTTGCCCATGACAGCGTATCTCGTTCCACAGCCTAATTCAGTGACCCTGGCTCTCGGCAGGTAGCCTGCCCAGCCAGGGATCGGGGGCTCCTGGAGAGGTTTCTTTACATATTTGCATTCTGTAAAAAGACACCATGTTTCTTGAAGGCTTTGGAAAGCCACACAGTGGACAGTGCTCTTGAGTTAGCTGACACCCCAATAGTTAACCTACAGTGAACCCCTAGGCCTACAGATGCACTGGCTGGTTGATTCTGCGGGCCAGCCACCACTGACTGGTTGACTCTCTGTGCCAGCCACCACTGATTGGTTGATTCTGTGTCATAGCCACCACTGATTGGTTGATTCCACATGCCAGCCACCTTGATAGGGGGTTTCCAAATGGTTTATGATTTAACCATCTCACAAACCCTAAGAGGTTGGTACCATTATTACCTCCACCATCTGTAGGAGGAGACTGGGACCTTAAAGAGGTTGAGAGACTTGGCCAAGGTCACACAGCCGGGAGGTGGTGGAGTTCAGATTCAAACCTGGCTCTGTCTGATTGCCAAGTCCTCACTCAAACAGATCCTGCTTCTCTCTCGGGTTAGGTAGAAACCATCAGACATCCCTCCGTGACAGCTTACATAAGGGAGGGAACCAAGAGAGGCATCCAGATCAGATGTGGCACCAGGAAGTGGCCATCAGGTCATGGCTCTGACTCCGGCTGGCTGGGTGATCTTGAGCAAGATTCTCTGCCACAACTGCCTCCCACTTCTGCAAGAGCCAAATTAAGCCACTGAGTCCCAGAACTTCAGAGCTGGAAGGTACCCTAGAGAACATCTAGTCTGTCCTTCCCTGCTGTGGATAAAGAAATCAAAACCCAGGGAGGGACAGCAAGCTGCCCTAGGTCACACAGCAAGTAGTTGCAGAGCTGGGCTAAATCCCAAACTCTTAGGCAGCTATTCTTCATAATTCTTGGAAAATTTCAAAGCACAGCAAACATGTAAATTATCACATATTCTTGAAAGGTTCCCATATAATTATAGCCATAACAATAAAGGTATCAACCCATTACTTTTCCTATCTGTCTTTAAATCTTTAAAATGATCTGATTGTGACTGTTATCATTATATAATCACGTCATCTGTTGCTGTTGTTTACTATAAAACCCCTTCCCACCCAGCTAGTACTTGGAGGAGTTGGATTCAAATCCAGGTCTGACTTCAAGGTCCATTTGCTGACCCAAGCCAAGTGACATTACAGCTAGTGCTCGACTTACGACCACGGTCGGGACCGCGGACCGGTCGTAACACGATTTGGTCGTAAGTTGAGTAGGCTATATGAACAGTTGAAATGGTGCACGCAGAGATGGTAGTGCTGCCGGAAGCTGGTCCGCACTGTCGTACACCCAGCTGGGCAACGTTTGCGCTGCCAGACGCGGAGCAGTCGTGGCTAGCGATTGTGGTCGTAAAGTCGAATGGTCGTTAAGTTGCATAGGTGGTAAGTCGATCAATACCTGTACCTCTCAAGGCCTTACTTCCCCTATCTCTAAGGTGGGAATGAATCTTGATCTCATGGAGGTGTTAAAGTGGTTAGCAAAATATCAGTGCCTGGCACAGAGAAAGCAACTAAAAAATGTTATCCATTGATCCAGAAGCTGAGACCTGAAAACTCATGACTCGCTTAGGGTTTCTTCGTTCTCAGACAAGCACCTTCCTCCCTAACCAGGGCTGTGCTCTCTCCCCTCGAAATGTATCTTTCTGGTCAACCACAGCAGTGGCTCACGCCTGTAATCCCAGAACTTTGGGAGGCCAAGGCAGGTGGACCACCTGAGGTCAGGAGTTCGAGACCAGCCTGGCCAACATGGTGAAACCCCATCTCTACTAAAAATACAAAAACTAGCCAGGCATGGTGGCACACATCTGTAGTCCCAACTACTTGGGAGGCTGAGGTGGGAGAATTGCTTGAACCCATGCAGCAGAGGTTGTGGTGAGCTGAGATTGTACTACTGCACTCCCACCTGGGTAACAGAGCAAGACTCCTTCAAAAAGAAGTAAGAAAGAAAAGAAGGAAAGAAGGGAGGGAGGGAGAAAGAAGTGTCTTTCCTACTTTATGAAGCCTTTGCATTTGGCACTGGCCCCTAGGAGGCTGAGGTGGGAGAATTGGTTGCAGTGAGCTGAGATCCCACCAGGAGGCAGAGGTTGCAGTGAGCTGAGATCACACCACTGTACTCCAGCCTGGGTGACAGAGCAAGACTTTTTCAAGAAAGAAACAGAGACAGACAGATAGACAGACAGAGACAGAAAGAAATGTATCTCTCCCACTTTAAGAAATGGAGCCTTTGCATCTGGTGCTGACCCCTGGGATTTGGAACTGTGTGGGATTCTGGGCACTCTGGGACAGCTCAGCTGGCCTATGAGAATCTGCACGGGTGACCAGTGGTGAGGGAGATGGTTTCAGGGCACTGCTACCCAGGAGCAGGGGGTGGTACTGCAGATAGTACTGGTGCAGGGCCCGCAGGACAGTCTCCTCGGAGTTGACGGGCTTCAGCTTCGGGGCAGTGGCCACTGCACAGCAGAATTCCCGCAGCTGGTCTTTATAGCTCTGTGTTTTCTCCTGGAAGGTTTTCACACAGTAGTTCATGTCATCCTCCCCGGACGTTCCTTGGCAGCTGAGGAACGGCACGAAGCCTGCAAGAGCCGAATGGAATCACAGCCTTCAGCAAGACTGGCCAGCAAGGAATGCAGAGCCTGCCTCAACTCCCCAGCACTTCGGCCCACCCCTTGGCTTTTCTTCCTCAGCCAACAACACTACGTTTTTCCAAAGGCCATTAATACAAGCAGCGCTGTTGTTTCCACTGGGGCCGGGCCCTCCCAAGGCCGCAAAAAAATGACCTTGGAGCTGGAGAGGGAAGGCCCATTTCAACAAAGGCGATGACAGTAATACTCTTTGATAGCAAAGCCCCTGATGTCAGCCTGATGGAAAGTGGGGAAAGCATTTAATGGGCCCAAATGACAGTCAAAGGAGTAATTGAAATTATTCATCTTTTTAGAGAGAAAGCTTATTTTCCTTGACACTTCCCAAATGCAATTTGGGATCTTTCTTGCCGGACCATCAGGAAATTGCAGGCTTATTAAAAGCAGAGCCCTATTACACAAAAAGGTAAATTCATTATCTGCAGGACCCACCCCTAGAACAATTTTTCACCATTTCCCACCAAGTAACATATAATCATTACAATTAGCATGGGTAAAACACAACTATTTATTTAAACTGGCGGCTGAATCCTAAGTACTATAATATTGTCGCAATAAAACCATTTTTTTTTTGAAGAACAAATGAGGAAAACTGATTAAGAACTTGGTTTTAAACTACAAAATAAATAAATAAATATATCTCCTTATGGAAGCTCAACATTTTTGCCATGGTCCCCAGGAAAACAAAACCTGGCTTCAGAGTTGACAGCAGAAATCCTCACCCCCTGAGCCCTACAATAACCCCTTACAGAAGAATCTAATTACTAAACTAATCTTTACAGGGTTGGAAGTTTTCCATGCACCGCCCAGTCTCCCCAGACCTTGGACAATTAAAATATATCCTAATATTATGAGGGAGACCACAGAACCCTACAGTGGCACTTTGATCTGCTGAGGTTTGATATTAGTACATATATGCACATGCATAAGCTACAGGCTACCTTGATTAAATCTTGCTGAAGACCAAGACATTCAAAATATGTTATGTATGCTGGCTCCTTAAATCCTCACAACAATCTTATGGTATCCCATGTAGTGGGTTGAACTGTATCCTCCAAATAGATATATCCATATTCTAACCCCTGGTACCTGTGAATGTGCTCTTATCTATATATAGGGACTTCTCAGATGTAATTAAGTTAAGGATCTACAAATGAGATCATCCCGGATTTAGGGTGGGTCCTAAATCTAATGACTGATGTCCTTATAGATGAAAGAAGCAGACCTGAGACTCAGAGACAAGGGGGAAGTGCCATGTGAGAATGAAGAGTAACTGGAGAGATGCTGCCACAAGCCAAGAACACCAGGACCACCAGAAGCTGGAAGAGGCAAAGCGGGGGATCCTTCCCTAGCACCTTCAGAAAGAGCATGGCCCTGAGGACTCCTCCATTTCAGACATCTAGCCTCAGAACTGTGAGATAATCCATTTCCATTGCTTTAAACCATGTAGTTTGTGGTCATTTGTGGCAGTGGTCCTAGAAAACTAATACATCAATTTTATGGAATGTTGTACTTACCATAGAAAGGCAAGTTATTTACAGTCTCATTGATAGTAGCCAAACAGAGATTGGGACCTCAGCTTGTCAGAACCCAAAGCCTATTCTCAACCAGCCAGTAGGACCAGGGTGAATCTGGGCAACCTTGGAATATCTCCCAAGCACCACTCCACACTTACCACTACAGCCTGGTATGATTGGCAGATTTCTCATGAAGGTCTTGGAAGGCTCCATGTATGGGAGAGCTGGGGGTCTATGGGGACCACTGGGTTTGTCGCCCACAGGGATGTGACTTAGTAAGTTCTCAGTAGCCCAGAAGCCTGAAGAGGACTAGCTTCTAGGTATGGCAACCAATTTTTCCTGGCTTGCCAAGGATTGAGGAGTTTCTCAGATGCAAGATTTTCAGTGTTAAGGAAAGCCTCAGGCAGTCCCAGAACAAAGACAGTCTCAGACCAGGGCAGTTGGCCAGCCTTCCTTTAGAGGATGCAGAAAGGAATGGGAATACAAGAACAACCTTTGTGGGGGACTTGAGAAAACCAACTTGGGGAGGACAGGGCCTCAACTTATTCGTGTGTCTATCCTCAGCACATTGTGTCTATCCTGGTCCAAATTCATTCAATAGCCATTAAGTGCTTCCTCTGCACATCAGGCCATGTTCTGGGAAATGTGGTCTAAGTTCTGACTCTCAGAGCCCAGCCATCAGCCATCTTCAACAATGGAATGCTCTCAATGCATGTCTCAAAAGCTACAGCGCCTATACTGGTCCAGTTGGCTGCACACGGATAGTGGGTCAAGGCAGGGACAGAGACCAGGAATAGGGTTCCCCTGCCAGGCACAGCTGCAGGGCACATCCACACTTACCGCTATAGCCTGGTATGATTGGCAGGTTTCTCATGAAGGTCTTGGAAGGCTCCATGATTTCTCTCTGTTCATGGAGGAAAGGGGGAATGAAATGGCCTCATCAAAAGTCACTGCCTTAAGGAATTACTGTTGAGTGTGCACAAGCCCTTGGGAGTGGGAGAATGACCTTGCCAGGGGTTGGACCTGAGAGGCAGCCCTACCATCTTACCCAAAGCCAGCAGACATAGCTGACTTCAGTCACAAATCAATGACCTATCACCAAGGGTCCATCACCTTTTATGTTAACTTGGATAACAGTGTACAGATCACACCCACCAGCATCTCCTCTCCCTGGAAGCAGCCTCCCCTCCATCCAACCTCCAGCCATCCAACAATTGTGAACTGTACTCATACTATGGCCCTGTGAGGCTCATGAGCCTCAGTGGAAGAAAGAGATGAGGCCTGCACATCCCCGGACCCCCTTCTTGATGCAAGTGAAATCAGGTTGCAGTGGTGATGTTTTGCCAGCCCCATCACCCCTGGAACATCTGGCAATGTCCAGAGGGATGTTTGGCTGGCAGAAGTGCGGAATGGAAGCTACTGAACATCCTACAATGCACAGGAGCCTCTCCCAACCCCTACCCCCAACCCCACCATCTAATACACATAACAAGGGAGAAGAAGTTCTGGCTTGAAGGGATCAGGAAGTCCCAAAAGGCAGACATGGAGTCCAAGGGAGGTAAGCAGAGGCCACCCTTTACTTCAGGGTGCTCCGCTGAAGCATCACTTTATGTGGATGCTGCTTCTGGAATAAGATAACTTCCCTCTTTGGGCATCACTGGTCATTCCCCCAAGTGGACTGAGGCCTTGCCAAGTCCTGCCCTGCTGATCCAGTTCGTCTCTTTAAAGTAATGCCCTTGAGGCTGGAGGAAGGGGATTCAAGGTGGAGGAGAAAGCCACAGTCATGGCTTAGTCAGCAATGATGGGGATCGCTAAGGCAGTTCAGCCCCCGCCAGGCTGACAGCAGTGAGGACTGTGCCACGTCTAGGCCAGTCTAACCCCTGGCATCACGTTCCTGGCTCCTGGGAGGAAGCACTGGGCCTGGAGTCAGACAGACCTGGCTGTGAGACCATGTCCCACCCATACTGACCACCTGCTTGCTCTTCTGAAAGCTTTACATACCCCATGATATAAATGCTATATTATACCCATTCCCCGATTTAAAAAGGCAACAGACATGGAACCCTGGCGATGCCCATGCTGCTGAAGCAGAACCCCATTCTCCTTTCATCCCCACAGCTTCCCTAAGAATGAGTTCCTACTGGAATTATCATTTTACAAATGAGAAAAATAAGGCACGGAGAGCTTAGATAACTTGTTTCAGGGTTCCAGAGTGAAATGGGGTGTGAGCAGATGACCTCTAAACTCTCAAGGGCAGGATAGTTGCCCAAAAGCATCAGCTGGTATAATCCCACCCTGAGGCCTGCCTGGAGGAGGTGGGCAGGGAGGAGGGTGGGGAGAGAGGTGGAGTCCTGAGACAGGGGGCTAGGAGGGGGTAGAAAGTACCAGCAGGACCCCTCCTAGCCGCCCCTTCCAATCCCAACCCGGGGCTCACCTGGGCAGGCCTGGATCTACCCGGTGCCCACCTGTCCTCTGCCCGGTGTCCCAGGCTCCCTGCCTTCCACCAGGCCTTTGTGCGCTCACGCTGCGGAGCACAGAGGCCCCACTCCCGCCAGCCTGCCCCTCCCCCACTCTTCCGGGACCCCACCTGGAAGGCAGGTGAACTGAGTGAATTTGGGGCGCTTCCCTCAGCGCCCCGCACAGCCCGGGCCTCCTGGTGTGCAGTCGGGCATCTGCGCAGCGAACATCTGGCCTCGGGGCAGTCCTCTGCGCCTTGGCTGCCCCAGCCAGGGCAGGGATCTGCGGAGGGCTCTAGGTCAAAACGGACGTTTTTGCGGGTGTAGACACTGCGGCGTCTGGGCCTGGAGGTCTGGGTGGGGAAACGGTTGTGCGGGAACAGGCGGGAGGGTGCAGTGCTTCGAAGCTGTGATGGGGACCAGCAGCAGCGGGCGGGAGGAGGCGAGGCCTGGGGGCCCTGGCGCCTCCCTCGCGGGAGCTTCCTGGGCCAGGCAGCCCCTCCCTCACGTCCCCTGTTAGGAGAGGCGGATTTGCAGGTGGCCAGGATAGGTGAAGGCAGAGAGGAGAGTCTGTGCACCTGGGGAAGGTGAGTCATCCTTCTTTCTAATCATCCTTAGGGGGCACCCAGCCTTCCTCTCATTGGATTGAAACCCATAAAGATGTCCGCCCTATGAAACAGATTTGGGGGGAACGGGGAGTGGGGTGTCGGCCGCGCGCTGGCTGCTCCGTTTACAGAAAAAGACGCTGAAGCTGCGAATTCCAGCTTGTTTACTGCACCTCCCTGCCTTCCCTACCTCTACTTTTCTGAGAATTGAACTGCAAATGGGGGCTGCTGGAGCCAACCACCATTTATACGTCACTTTTACCCCACATTTAGAACTTACCTCGGGCCATCTGGAAGCTTTCAGAGCCAACTCTGGAGGGTGACCCAGGTGTAGGCTCTGGACACAGCCAGTTTCACGAGACACGAGACGGCTGGGATGCCCAGGGGCAAGAGCCTGGCCAGGCCTTCTGCATGTTTTAATGACTTTCATTTGGAGTGCAGTGGCGTTGGAGGTGGTCACCCTGCTTATCTGCCCTCCCTCTGGCTAGATCACTTTCTTCTAGAGAAAAGCGGCTCTGTGCACACTGATGGGGGCCTTGGTTCCCAGCAAACAAAGGGCCTCCTAGTCTTGTTAGACTCACTTAATAAAACTCACAGCACCTGGAAAAAACTGAAAAGCTCTCTCCACCACCTGAGATGGGTAGAGAGGGAGGTCAGTACTGATGTGTCCATCACGCAGTTTACAAACCCAGAATGGGGGGAAAAATCTGGGCCACATGAGATTCAGAGTTTTGCTTTATTAGACATCTGTGAAGACAAGAGAGTTTGTAGACACAATCCTGTCTGTGGTGAACTGCTGCAAAGTTCTGTGAAGTTTGAATTTATCTTGTAGTGAAAGAGACCTCAATAGCTGATATTTTAGAATACTGGTCCATATTTCAAGCAGATGAGAGGTGTGACATTATGGCCAACAACTTTTATACTAGTCATCCACTTAAGCCGTTTTCCAGCATACATATGCAGCTTAATCACAGATATTACATCTCTACAATGTGAAATTCGATCTTTGACTAATAATGCATTTTGACTCCTGTTTATATTGGTGCATGCGATTCTTTGCCACCCTGGCAATTAACCAGACCTGGACTCTAAAAGCTAAACTTGATCTAAATAACATTCTAAGGGTAAGGCAGCCTCTATAATCTGGACTAAGCCATCATTTTGCAAAAACAGTTGTATGGTTCCTCCTCTCTCCCCTCCTGCCTGTAACTTGTCTGTTATTCAGCATTCATTAATGCTTACTGTGTACAGAAAGGGTGGTTACAAAGGAAAGCCTTGATGATTCTGCTTCCAAGAAATGTGAATATCAGATAATGTGTCTTGGACAATTGAGCAATGGGTCAAGACAACAGGCCTTGTAGATACTTTCTAAGATTTGAAAATGTGTTCAAGTGTACTTATCCAGTGCTCTTATTCTAGAATATTCCAGTGGGGGTAGGGAAGGAGGGATGGATTTGGGGGTTTCGATTAAGGACTCTGACTACTGGGGCTGCAGTCCTGTGGCCAGAAGATAAACTTATCACCCTCTCTATCACCTATCTACCAACACTGCAGATTTCTATCAGCTCATTTAAGAGAAACAGTACACAGGGAGATAGCATTACTGCAAGGCAGGAAAGGCTTTACATTAGCCCAAAAAAGAGGGGTTACACTTAACACTTAACCCAGCAGAAAAGTTGGGCTTATGAACCACTTGATTCCGTTCTTTGACCCTAGCATCCTGAAAACATCACACACAGTGGACCACACTTTGCCCTCGGAGTGACTGCTCTGTCCCAGAAGGAGGGGTCAACGACCCCTCAGGATGCACAGGGTTTTCTTAGGTTGTTCTGCACAGTCACATTGCTTACAGAACCAGAATGTTCAGCTCTCAAAGTCTGCACAGGAGAATGGACAGAATCTGCTCCTTTCAATGGAATCTGTAACTCTTTGGGAAGGGTGTGCATGGAGAAGGGTCTGATGAGGCTCCTGATCCAGGCGGTCCATGTGTGTTCAGTGTATTCTGACCCTAGGCACCTCTGTCTATTGCTCAGTCTTTCGTACAAAGTCCATAGCTTGGCATCTGCACAAACTGATGCTTAGTAAGCACAATTAAGAAATGAAACTGTGGAAAATTAAGGACAGTAACAAAAGTTTCATCAACAAAAATTAAGGAGCATTTTCCTCTTTTTTAACAAGAAAAGCGCATCATAAAAACAAAGATTCTGTACAAGATTCTAATATTATATGTACATAAAATTATATTACTCATAACTACACTGAAAAGTCTTATTTGCAGAATATGGCTGGCAACAAAGAAAGACCCATACCATTTAGCGTTTAAAGCAGGGCAGGTAGCAAGAGAACACTACAAACACACCTGTGTGCCTGGTTACATAATCCTGCTACTAAGTTATGTGAGTAGTGCTCTCTAGTTCTGTGATTTGTTCGTGTTTCACATTCTAGTAGGGAATTCTGCAGCAGGCAATGTGAAAAAGAAGACATGGTCAAATGAAATGTGAAATGCTATTTAAAATCTGCATATTGGCTATGATAATGGGTTTGTGAATCCAAGTTGCATTGGAAGTTCACTCATTCTCCATTCATTATGCATGCCTCCAGTGATTTAATGAATTCCAGCAGGTGGAAAAGACAGCTTTGAACAGATCAGATGGGCTGTGAGTCAGATTCTTAACTCTTTTGCCTCATTTGGCTCCTGAATGTTGCAGAAAACTGGTTTTGTACAGTGGGGAAGGAGAGTGAAAACCCTCCAGTTGGTTCCTCAGTCAGCTCCATTCTTAGTGTCCCTTTCTTGCAATTCTTTCCTCCCCTGGCCTTCCTGTGAGGTTTAAAAGTGCCATCTCCAAGCCAGGCAGAGCCCTAATCCCGTTCACCAAGAAGGCAAGGTATGGGGTCACCTTCACATGCAAGCCCTCTTCCTAAAAGAACCCAACGAAGACAGCTGCACACTATGGGCTATGGTCCGTGTGTGAGCTTCAACAAAATCTCAAGTTAGTATTTCTCAAATTTCAGTTGAATCACAATGCGGTTCATACTACAAATGCAGATTCTGGTGCCCCTCTCCAAGAGTCAGCCTCAGTTAAAAAAGGCTGGGATCCAGGAACCTGTTTTTGAACACGCACCCAGGCAATTCTGATGCAGGCGAGCCACAGACCTGCTGTGAAAAAAACTGACTTAATCTGTCAAGTATAGATCTACAAATTATTTTTAAAGAGACTCAAAAACTGAAGATATTAATGAAACATTGCATAGCACAGATTCTCTTCCCAAATTTCGCCAGTGTATCCCTTTCAAAATGTGGGACTAAATGGCCAAAACTCTTAGGGAGATGAAGGTGAGTGGGAAGGAGGAGGGGGTTAATTTAAAATCTGTCTGCTCTTCAAGGCGAGAAGCTCTTCTGGATTTCTGGGGTTGGTGATCCAAATAAGACCAATGGCAACCTCATTTTCTTACCCAGAATTCCTACTGAGGTTCACTAGAATTATGAACTCAGAAATCAGGTCTTGGCATACTGGGAATTTATATGCCAGAACATAATTTGGGATATGTCAGTAACTCTTTACTATCTATTTCCATCATGGCAAATTTTCACCTGCTAAGAATGTGAGGTATCAGCTCTCCTACTCGCAAAAGCCCTAGTGGATTACTCAAGGCTACGGTTATTCTTCCCTGAGCCTCCTTAAATTATATGAGAACCTAACACAGTGCCCAGTGTAGGCAGCCTTCTACCACCAGCTAAAAACATTCCCAATTTCCACTGACTCACCACTTTTAATCACATGATGATGAAAATAAATTAACTGCAGATAGGTGCCATTTTATACTGACCACCGTCCAAAAAATTTCAAAAGAGAAGACTCAGATGAAATCTCCTGACTCAAAGATCTCATTTTAAATCTAGAAAGACAGCAATAGGGCATGCTAATTCTACTTAACAGAGATCTGTTCAAAGCTGAGCAACCACTGCTGCAGAAATGGACTGATTCCCTTCTCCATGGCTGTTTCACCACTTCTGTACCTATGAAAACTAGCTGCTCTTCCAGGATCCTTTAATTTTCTATGCCTAAATCTTAATCTTAATTTCTGTTTTTCCAATTCCAGTGTGCCCTCAAAACTCACTATTTCTAGCCCTGATTATTCTCATTTTCCCTGCTGAAATTCACATGGGCAATGGTGAGGGTCAAGGTTAGGGAAGAAACAGTCAAGGTTGAGGTCAGCAGATGCAGATAAGTTGAGTCCCGGGGGGCAGGCAGCGGAGTGGGAGAGTTAGTAATTTAAGAAGTCGATCCCAACTTTGACACTCTTCGAAGTGGCTATATCAATGGCTGTGGCTTTGATCTCGGTGTCCCCGAACTGCATGAGGGTCTGGATCTCCCTCCGGGCAGGCACCGCAGTGCCACTGGTCCCCGTAAGATCCAGGCGGAGCGTGCCGCACTTCTTCACCCCAGGATCAGTGATGAAGCTGACGTCATCATGCTCAGAGCTGTAGATGTTGATGACAATGACCAGCTGGGAGGGCTTGGCCGGGGTGTAGCTACGCTTGACCAGCTCACCAAGAGCCACAGACTGGTCAGCAGAGATGAACTTGTCGAAGACATCGGTACACCACCGAGTGCCATCCTTCACCAGCAGCTTCTCGGGTGGGTGCTTGCCCTCCACGTAGCGGTTCAGCACACCCACCCCGTAGGTGAGTGGCGACCTGCGCACCTTGATGACCGCAGGGTCCAGGCCAAAGAGGACGGCGCCCTTGAGGATGGTGAGGCCCACGTCCTGGGGGATGATGATTCGGCACTTGTCCCCGAAGGCAGCCTGCACCGCCTGCTGCAGGAGGGGCGCCTCGGCAAAGCCGCCCACCAGAAAGAGGAACTTGACGGTGGACACCTCGGGCTTCTGAAACAGGTCCCCTGGAAGAGAGGAGGCAGGGAGAGAATGTCCTGTCACCAGAAGCCAGAGCGGAAGGGGGAACTGGGCTGCCTGCATCTGTGGGAAACAGACAAAGCCACTTGGGCCAATGGGAGGGTTCGTCTGAGTTCCTTTGAACAGAATCTTTGCAGAAAAGTCTTTTAAAGAGAGGGAGTTTGCACACCAATATGTTCAGGGATAAAAGCCAGAGCTGCCGCTAAGTAGAACGCATTTTAACAGATACATGGTGATAATTTTAAATAGAATTTGGTTTGCATAAATGAATACTCCTAAAGCTTTCCAAACCTGTGGTTCTGTTGGGTAAGTCAAGGCAGGCTGTTAAAAATAGAATTCTCTGCTTTTCATAAAAATCCCATCCCACTCCTAGGGAGTCTGATTTGGTAGGTGAGGGATGGGATACTGAAAGAGGTCCCGGGTGAGTCTGCTATGTGTCCCTAGGCACTGCCACCAACGTAGCAGGATAACAATATGGCCAGATTCCATTTGCCATCGTGCAGCAGAACTTCCTTTCGTTCACACGACAGTTCCTTCTCCCCTAGCGGGGTAAGGATGTCTAATATGTCCCAGTAAAGCAAAGAATATGCATTTCCTAGAGCCCATCACTCTCAGGTAACATTGCCTCAGAGCTTCCAGCTCTCTAATCTTTTTTGTGGTTTTAAAGTTTTGTTTGCTTTTTTAATTCTTCCTCTTTGTTATTACCAGCT